GTCAGACACGATGGTGGATCTCGTTTCCGTCAGACCTGGCTCTTACAGTTCTGTCGAAGATTTTCTCTCGGGTGTCAATGATGCCCTGAAAACATTTGATAACGATATTTCACAGTCAGACACGAAATACTATGAGGTGACTAATCAGAGGATAACGTTTAATCCGTTCGACAATGATGAACAATACAAAGTCCATTTTTCCCCACGCCTTGCCCTTCAGCTTGGACTTGAGCACCCTGGGCCGTATCCGGCAAACCAGGACATCTGCGGCACTAAACCCCTGGACATTAGTTTGGGGATGCCGGCTGAAATGTTTATCTACATGAACATTCTCTCTGACCAGATTATCGGCCACGAGAGGGCACCGCTGCTCCGCACTGTCCCACTCGACATTAATGCGCAGCACGGCACCACCTCGGTCGTTCACTTTGATCACCCGCTGTACTTTGACTTGCGGACAAAATCGTTTGACACTCTGGAAATAGATATAAGGGACAGCGCAGGGCGTCGGATCCCATTTCAGTTCGGAACGTCAACCTTGTTGGTTCACTTTCGTAAACTCTCCTAAAAAAAATGGATCCTATTACTCAATATTACATGCGACAAATAATGCTCACACTGATAAACTAAGTGTTCAACTGCTCAACACTTGTTAGTGTGCAACTTCAAGTTAAATACTTGCAAGTGTGCAACTGCAAGTTGAATACTTGCAAGTGTTCAACGCGGTAGAGGTGTGCACTTGCAAGTGTGCAACTCCTAAGTTTAGCACTTCCTACACAGTGACCGTTAGACAGCTCTACACTTGCAAGTGCACACCTACCGAGTTGAAAACTTGCAAGTGTACGACTGTGGAGTTGAACACTTGCAAGTATTTAACTTGCAGTTGCACACTTACAAGTGTTGAGCAGTTGAACACTTAGTTTATCAGTGCAGTCACAACGGTGGCGGGCATTATTATGCCGGTAGCAGTTATCAAAAAGGACACGGTATCGGTTCCTGGCTGGGCGGTCTGTTCCGTTCCGTTTTCCCCGTACTTAAAAGTGGCGCGGCCGCTGTGGGGAAGGAGGCGGCCCGAGCGGGTAGTCACATTCTCGCGGATGTCGCTAGCGGAGATAATATCAAAGAGAGCGCTAGGCGTCACGGGGGCGAGGCCGTCCAAAACCTTAAGAGACGAGCGGCCAGTGCCATGAGCGGGTCTGGGGCTATAAAAAGGAGGAAGCGTTCACCTAATCTTCATTCGGTTACTAAACCGCGAAGTAAACGGTTCTCACCTGATTATTTCACCTAAGATGCCTTTCATTCATAGTTCATCCCCCGAGGCTCTGCCCTCATCCCTCGATGTGTTTGGCGGGACGCCTCACCAAGTGGGGGAGGAGAAAAGTCAGCTCATGGAGTTTAGGGCTACAGCGTCCAATCTCGACGCCAGCACCATCACGGTCGACATTCAGGGTGTAGGTCATGGATACGGCGACGCTGCTCTCCTGTATCTCTACACAAAACAAAAAATTGTGAATGGTGACGGTAAAGATATTACGGATGCTGATGGGAGCGACGCGACAGTTGTCAACTACCCGTTGGGGGCCATGTGGTCACAAATCGACTGCAGCATGAACGGCACGGTCATTTCCCAGAGTAGTATGACGTATGGTTATCGTTCCTACATCGAGACCAAACTGAATTACGGCAGGGGGGCCAAAGAGACCCATCTGCAACAACGCATGTGGTATGAGGACACGGCAGGGTTCTATGACTCACTCAATAGTGAGCAAAACCTAGGCCTTGCTTGGCGTCGATCTCGCACCAAAAACAGCAAGGTTTTTGAGCTCTTCGGCCCCCTCCACATCAATCTGTGTAATTCTGACCGTCTCATACTCAACAACGTGACGATCAGCCTAAAAGCCACTCGGAGCCGCGACGACTTTGTGATCATGTCCACCAAAGGAACTGAAAAACTTAAGCTCCTGGACTTTAAGGTCGTGATGAGAAGGGTGACCGTATCCCCCTCCGTGATGCTCGCCCACGCCCAAGTACTAGAGAAGGCTCACGCCAAGTACCCGCTCACTCGTGTCGATATCAAAACCATCACGATAGCGAAGGGTTTGAGGGATAAAACGGTGGACAACCTCTTCCTTAATCAAATGCCCCAAAGAGTCATCATAGGTTTCGTTGACAATAAGGCGTTCAATGGAGATTATAAACTTAATCCATTTAACTTCCACCACTTTAATCTAAACTTCCTCCAACTCCACGTGGATGGCATGCCCGTCCCGGCCCAACCCCTGACTCCTGACTTTTCTGCCGGTTTGTACATTGAAGCGTACAACACCCTTTTTAGTGCCACGGGGATTCACTGGAAAGATGACGGGAATCACATACCGTTCGCAGACTATCCCCGGGGCTCGACCCTGTTTGCGTTCGACCTGACCCCTGACCTCTCTGCTAGCATGCCGCACTGGAATCTGCAAAGACATGGTTCACTGCGTCTCGATATGCGATTCGCCGACGCTCTGCCCGATGCTATAAATTGCGTGGTCTACGCCGAATTCCAGAACTTGATCGAGATCGATAAAGATCGCAACGTCATTGTCGACTACAACGTCTAATGGATGGCTTCACGCTAGACTCCCTGATGCGCAGGGATAAACACGTCTCACCTCTTTTCGAGGGTGTGTTTGCAGCGGACACGCTGCCGCGCAAACTTCACAACTGCCCCGCACTTTTGATCTGTAACACAGACCCTATTTCAAAACCAGGGCAGCACTGGGTGGCTTTTTACATCGATAAACATGGTGTGGGTGAGTACTGGGACTCCTACGGTTTTCCACCACTCGTACCACAACACAAAAGATTTCTAAACCGACACTGTAAAAAATGGACTTACAACCACAAAAGTCTACAGGCACTAAATTCCACGGTGTGCGGGGAGTATTGCATACTCTATCTGGTCCACAGAGCTCATGGGTATTCCCTGCACTCTTTCGTCCACAAGCTCTTTACCTCCGATCCGATAAAAAATGATGATGTCGTGCGAAAACATTTTCAGCACATGTTTGGTAGGAAACGAGCATGCGTGGTCGCCGGGGCGCAGACGTGCTGTGGACGTAGTTCTAAAAATATCCGCTAGGTGGCGCTGGCGCAGGTCTTA